TAAATGAACACAGTGAGCCTGTATTCTTCGCTGGGACAATTAGGTTCTATGGTAATATGAGTAATTAATAATAAAATGGGGCCTCTTCTGTGGCTGTTAGAAATAATTTCCTTCTGCCAGTTGCTTTTCTAGAATGTGGTTTTGAACTTTGAGATCCTGAAAGAGATAATCGAAACACAAGCAGCTGTCACAAACCTTTAGCTCTGTTTATGTAGGCAGTGATGGAAAATCACAAAACTAAATTGTTGGATGGTTCACTGGTTTGTGCATCTTTTGTTGTAACATCAAGCTCTTATGCAATGGACCCTTGTTTGATTTAAGACTCTTCTCACTAAAAGTGGGTTTCAACAGTCCAGATTTTTAATAAGGTGTAAAGAAGCAAAGCAAATTACTGATTTCTTGGTTGCTCTTCACCCAATTCATTTATGACACACACAGAATCAGCTGTGCTGTGCTGGATCAGGGTGATCCAGCTGCTGCAGCTGCAAGAGGTAGGCTGTTTTTTCCAGATGTGGTGGATCTGAACCCTGCCTTCATCTATGTGCCATCTGGGGCCGAAAGGTGGGATAAAACATTTGGTTGTTGTGTCACATGACAGTCCTTCGGCAGCTGTTCCTCATCCCCTTTGGCAGTGGCATCTGGCCATGGAGATGGGCTTCTGAGTGGTGGGAGCACAGTGCAAGGAACAGTATGACACGGATCCTCCTGTCCACATGGCTCATTGAGGTCTGAAGGCTCCTCTTGTCCATCTTCTTTCCCAGATGTTGAGGAAGCTGAACTGTAGAGGCCTTCTTGTTTCACAACTTTGTTTTTATCCTTTGCCAGACCTCTGCCAAAAAAGATAGCCAAAGAAGACTCTGAAATTTAAATTTAGGTATCCAAGGGTATGTTATTCTTCCTTTAGTGAGCACAAACCTGACATTTTCAGGAGGCTGACAGCTGGTGCCATGATGGTGAAGATCACTGACTGAGAATCCCACGATGTCAATCGTGATTCAGGGCTTTAGAGTACTGGGCTCCCACTAAGCAATGCAAGAATGCAAGCATCCTTGGTAGAGTGTATCTAATGAGCAGGATATTTATCCCTGAATGTATTTTTTAATTTATGTTCTATTTCTACTCTGGTAACCATAGTAATTGCACTAGAATTTTGTGGTTTAACATATTCATGCCCAAAATCTCTTCTGGTGGTCAGCTTATTTTTATAAAGATCGTGTCATGGCCTGCAGCCAAAAGCACTGGTGCTAATACAGAATGTGATTTTTATCTATTCTCACTAGGTATGCAGAGCCAGTTACAGTGAATATTTTTTCAGTTTTTTTTTTCAAAAAAAATATTGGACTCCATGACAGCACTGTTAATTATGATCTGAATTCTCTGCTGCAGCACTTCTCCTGAAATCAACAGAATTATGCTGGCAAAGAACTTGTTCCTCATAGTGTCAAGTCACACAGCTCTGACAGTGACTTCATTATGGCATTCCCAGAACTATAAAGTGTTTTGATGGGAGTACTTGGCAGCAGACTGGAAGCACTGGTGACTCAGTGCACAGTGCTCTGCCTTCTGAGTCAAAAATGACCTGGTGTCCCAGCAGTGCCGTTTGTAGTTTGGTTTTCTTATTGTTTTTATGAGACATAAACCCCTCTGTTTTCATGAAATTATTGCATATTAATTTTTGAAAACGAAGATTAATATTCTTGCTGCCTTTCTTTTTTTTTTAATTTAATATCAAGATAGTTACCTCTGGCTGCCTGTTTTTGCAGAGTTGGTAGGAGAGATTAATCACCTTTGCAATCTATATCCTTCTGTCAAATTTGGTTATGATTTGCCATCAAGATGCTTCAAGTTATTCCATAGGAAACAGGATAAGAATTGCTCCTTGTTTGCCCTGGATAGTTAGGCCTAAATTGTGTTTTTGAGCTTGGCTCACTTTTCATGCTGAAATGTAGAGGACCTCCAGAAGTTCTTTCCTATTCAACTATCGTGTGAATCTGAGTCTAAGTAAAGGAGTTCTTAAAAGTGACTTCAAAACTCACTATTTACGTGTTAAATCCATGGAAAATCTTTGCTTCTCTGTTTGAATTCCCTCATCATATCCAAAAAGGTGAAATAAAAAAATGTAGAACAAGAGGTCAGATTTATAAAAGGAGCATCTTACCAGACAAGGCTGCACACTGGATTGTCCCAGCAGAATTAGCTTTTAATACCTGCGGAAGACCTCCTGAACTAGCTGGAACTGGGATACTGGTGTTAGATGAACGCAGTAAATTAATTGCTTTTGGTTTTATGAACTCATTGGTAAAAGTTTGTTTAACCGTATCTTTGATGGAGGGTGCTGGGTGTGTTATCTTTCCTCATTATGCAGTAATAAGTGTAATCTAAATATAAAATTGGACGCATGCAGGCCTCTTATCCTATAGAAACAAACAGCATTAAGAGGGCAGCTAGATACTCATGGACTGACAGGATCCCTAAAATATACATCCTCGTTCCCCCTGAGCTACATAGGGCTGGGTGTGCCATGGCTGTAATTTGGGTTGCTCTGGGAGGGCTGTGAGCCACAACTACCAAGAGAGAAAATGGACAATGTTGGTTCTGCTTCCCTCAACAAACAACAGTAAATAAATTCTCCTATCCTCTCTGTCTCTGTGCACACGGATTTATGGAAGTATATAAATGTCAGCAGGAACTGGAATGAGATGGTACCTCAAACAAATGTAAAAATCTTAGTTTGCAGCAAACACTGTTGTATCTGTGGTCACAATAACTTTGGCCGTAATTTATAAGTTAGGTTTGCATCTCTAACTGACTGAAATAGTTTCTAAATTAACCTTAAAGCAATTTAAAATACATTGTGTTGTTGCCTTTCAATTCCAATGGAAGCCCTTTTTATTTCCCAGGTTGTATAAATTTTGTGTACATCTCTATTTCATTCAGAGCTGGTGGGTTCCTACCTTCTTTGTAATAGCAGTACAAAGTAGTTTGAAAAAATATGGGATGGGGAAAAGGTTGCAGTAGGTATTAATTTCAAAATAAAATATTATTTATATCTTCTGCAACAGTTTTTATTTGTTTGTTTTGTTTCGGTTGTAATAATGTAACACATTTCCAGAATATTTCTCCTGTCTTTAAATACTTCAGAGTTGTGAATAAAAGTGAACTGCATTACAAGACTATTTTTAGGATAGTCTTCGTAAGATGTGCAAGTAATCATGCTCTGTAATGGATGTAACAGAGGACAAGAAAGCAGCAGAAAAAGAGCTGTAATTTACAGCTGCCTCTGTCAGCATCAAAAAAAGCTGGTTTGCTTCATATCTGCTAAAGTTCTCATCCAGAATAATCTAATCAGTTGCAGGCTTTATAATATTGACATTTTAGTGAAGCATTGCTCTGTAAACATCACATTTCTGCGGAGTGGTGCATACCTGTAATAATTACCATGGCTTAAAGAAGCCTAGTTCATAATTTATAAATGACACAGACATTCCCACAAGTCCTGAGTGATAACATTTTTGATTAGAGCTATACACAGGCATGAAGGAGCTAATTTTGAATTCACAGGGATTCAGTACTGAGTAAGGTGACAGTTTTAGTGCCAAACATGCCATAAGATGGGAGAATTTGTTTACATGGGTACATTAAATCTGCTGTGGCTTCTGCTGCATTTCTGGATGCCTTACTGGAGGTGAAGCCATTCGTGTGCTGTTAGGGCTGGGTGCCCCATCCTCTGCATGCAGGAATAACTAAAGAGACGTTGAATTTTGACAGCATTTTTTCCAGGGAGAGCATCTCAGGATAAGAGGCTAGTGTGGAGTGTTTGAAGAAAACCAGGCTGACCCAGTTTTTCTGCACGTTTGGCATTTACAGGAATGAATTTACAGCAATTCCAAAAGACCAGGTAGTATCACTCTCCCTGAAGTCCCACCAGGAGAACTGGAATAATTAAGCCTGCAGTCATTCACATTATTCCTGCTGTTGCTTTACCAAAATAAGGGATTACTGCCTTTACCTACTGACCCTTACCTGCAGGGCTCTTCCTCATTGCCCACTGCTGATTATCCTTTAATGCAATTCTGGAAAAATCATGTGAAAAGGAAAGTCTCGAGTTCTTAACTAAAAATTTTCAGTAATATTGTGTAGAAAATAGATATGTTGATATGTAGGTGAATTTTTTTTTTTTTTGTGCATGGGTTAGCAACAGGATCAGCTGCAAAATAAAATAGGCTATAAAGAAGAAGGGGAAGGAGGTAAGTCTCGAGGCGCAGAGATGTCCTATGGTTACAACAGAGAATGGGGATTCTGATTAAAAAGCTACAGACTAATCCTAAGTAATATTCAAGGAACTGTTTCCCTGCCTTAGTTTTCACATCAGAGTTGGTAACTACTGCTTTGATCTGCATGCTTTCAGTGCCATGCAGATGGAGCAGCTGGATTTGAAAGCCTCAGGCAGTCTGTCTGCTTCAGCTGTGTGTCCCTGAAGGCTGGGCCAGCTGACAGCACAGGAGCTATGATTAAGCTTTGGCTCAGGGTCTACTATGCTTATTCCAAAGGTTTTTGATGCTTCAGGGAGGTTGAAACAAATAAATAAACAACCCTGCCACGTTTGCAGTAAAGAATTGAGATAGACCATCTCCCCAGCTGCCTGCCCTGCTCCTCTGCTTTGACTTCCACCTCCCCGTGCTGAAGTGATGCTGCCATGGCAGGGAGCAGCATTCCTTAGCACGGGCTCTTGCTGCAGGTGAAAATGGGTTCACACTAATGAAGGGGACTGTATATTTTGTTGTCCGAGGGGGAGGGCTCTTGGAGCTGCTGGATTTTTAGTGCTGGGTAGCTGTGTCTGTTCTGTAAAGGCTTATTTCTCCATCAGAGAAGGGAGAGTACTCAGGAGGAGGGGTTGGGCTTTTGCTTGTATGTGGGTGAGAGCCAGAGTAGTGGGGTTTAGCTGTGCTGGGGTATTTGAGGAGTCTCTTTAAGGCTATGAGTCTTGCTTACCTTGGGAGGAAATGTGTTTTTATTAGTGTTTATTTGCCTGGTGTTGTGTTGTTTCCCATGTGGTCAGGAATACTGGCTGTGGGAGCTGCCTAGTCATGCACAGCCTTTCTCTTTCTCTGCTGTGTGTCTGTCTTGGATGTGTTCAATGTGCTGTATATCTTGAAAGACATCAGAATATTCTCAGCCCTGGTTGGGTAAGTAAGGTCTTAAATAATGCTGTTTCTTCTGTCCTATAGCTTTAGTAGCTCAGTAGTGGAACTGTAACTTGGAGGTGGTAACTGAGCTTCTGGAATCTCTTTTTTCTAAGGCTGTGTGGGAAGGGGTAAACTCTGTGGCTTTCTTATCTGTTGGGAGTGGTATTTAGAGAAGTCTTACTTTTTTCTTATTGGCTCTCGCATAAAATTCTAAGCATAGAATCCTTAAGTGTCAAAAACTTTATCTGCTTTTCTGAGGGAAAGCAAGACAACAGTGGAAGAGAAGGCTTGGTAGTTTCAGCACAAAACTCTGCTTTTATTTTAGCTGCAGTCTGAGTTGATCCCCTGGGCTGACTAAATGTCAGATATGTGATAGAACTGAAACAGACACTGGCTTTCCTGCTTGTTAGTTGAAAATTTAGTGATGTTTTTGTGTCAGGAAATGCATGAATGTGAACATTCGTAGCCTGCTCCACAGGAGTGAGTGCATCAAACTAAATATTTTGATGGTGTTTCCTTTCCCTCCTTCATTCTCCTGCCTTAATCTGATAAATGAGGTTTCTGTGTTCTGTAAGGTGCTGGATGTGTTGGTCAAAGGACTTGAGTTCAGTGTTAAGGGTTTTGTGTTGTGTACCTCCCCTTGCCTGAAGAAGTTGCTGGATGCAGCTCTCAGTTCATCTTGGATGATTTTCAAAGAGATTTTAACAGATAGTTTAGGGTGCAAAATTTGTTACAGACATAAAGTAGTCTGGTTTTTAGGCCTCAACCTTTTATGTTCTGCTTGTTTCTGCCTACATGTAGATATTAAATAAGTGAGGTTTGCCTTAAGGATAGCACAGGCTGTTAAGTTTATGATGATTTCTGTGAAATAAAACAGGGTTGAATGCTTACAAATGTTTAGGGTTATTTCCCAGCACTAAGTCTCTGTGCTAGTTGCTCTGATTAAATGGAAACTGTGCTGAAAAAAATTACTTTCTGCAGTCACATTAACATGTATTTTTTGTTAAAGAAATTATTGATAAGACATGGTGTTCCTAGTAGAAATTATACTTTCAGGTTATGGTTTTGTTTTATTTACCATTAATTAGACCTGTGTTTTAGAAGAGTCTATAGGGGAGCTTGAAATTCTAGTCTTGTCCTTACTACTTGCCTGGATGGATCAAACTGCTAATAGGAACTTAAAATGCAGTTATTGTTTAGGTTAAAATATCAGGGGGCACTATGGAGGCCATTAATACTGGAGCTATGAATTAACGTTTAATTCCTACTGGTTTAGTTTCTATTGTGGCAGGTTTTTCTAAACAACAACTAGCAGGGAATTTTTCTAATCTCTGGCTTGACAGTATTTCAGTGTTTACTGCATTGTCTGAATTTTTTGCTCTCTCAAAATATGAGAGTTTGTGTGCTCAGTGTCAGCTTATCATCTTGTCATTCTTTTCAAGCTATAAATGTATTTTCAAGGACTCTAAGAAATGTATAGATTTTTGTGGGTGTGAAATTGTCTGGTTTGGTTTTCTTTATCTCCTTTTTTTTCCCTTAATTGTAGCTGCATCCCAAAGCTTAGGAACTGGAATTAAAGAGCCTTCCCTGCATGGATGCAAAAATGTGCCCTCAAAACCAGGGGAGTGTTAACAGAACTAGGCTTAATGGATAACTGTAATTTTCATGTTTCAAACCTTGCTTTGTGTAACTTCCCCTGAGCAGAGAGAGACCTCTATCATGTTCTTTTTCAAACTTGTAATACCCTCTATCTCTCTTTTGAAATTATCTCTAAGAATCATATAAAACATGCTTCTTGCATGGTTTTAAATTACAAATAATTACTGATTCATGTGTGCTATCTGTCCTTTCTTCCTCCTGTGCCACTTTAGTCTCTCTAATTTCTTCTTTAGTGGCTTTATCTTCTTTTTCCAGTTACTAGTATTTTCTCTCTCAAATGTCTGGAGTAAGTCTCTGGAAAACTGCATCATGGACAGCTGTTTAGATTTTCCAAAATTGTTCTTTGGCTGGCATTCAGAGACTATTTTAGTGGTAAATAAATTAATGGGATTGTTTTAGAAGACGAAACGTTTCTTCACTAGCTATTTTTACATATGTAAAGGAGTATTTAAATTTTTGTCTTCACAAGCTCTTATTGAAGTGAGTAACCCATTCATGCTTTTGTCTTTAATATATTACACCTTATCATGAAAGGTTCTCTTCCTCTTGCTCACCTTCTTTCACCCAAATGTTATGTGGGTGGCCTTTGGGGTTGCTCTCTTGGCTAATGGAGATGGAGGGAAGGACAGGCACTTGGACTGCAAGAGGTCACTTCTGGAAGTGCTTGTGCTGTGAGGGGCTCCTAGCTTGTTTAAGGTGAGCAGCAAAGTTTTAGATGACCTCATGCTGTGTATGTAATCTCAGATGTCAGTGTGTTTGGTTTTAAATTTGAATTATAGCAGAAAATGTCCTTTTTATATGCTTTTCTTTGCTTGAAGAAAAAATCTCAAAGACATTTAAATTTCTGCCAGAGGTGATTGTCTTCTTTCCTTTTTCTTTCTATTGGATATTGTAGTTGTCACCCATTTATTGACTTTCATCTCTGAAACTGAGTGAGCTCCTTACCCTCAGTGCTGAGTTCTCATATAACCTTGAGACAGAATTGTAATTCTCTTCATCTCCTGATTTTTGGTGTCTTTTAAAAGTGTGTTATTGGAACTCTTGGTTAATCCTACATCCATGCAGCTAATACCTTACTTGGGGAGAAAAATTGCATTCTTGCTTCCTAATTCTTTAGATACATCCAAGGATTATGTTTGCTCTTTCCTGACAAAGAATCATACAGACACTTTTTTATGGGCTTGCTCATCCTCTATGTCTCATTTCTCTTCAGAGCTTTTGCAGCTGCTGACATTATTCATAAAAATACTGTGCTTTGTTAATTAGAAACTGTCTCTGCAGCCTGTAGTCTTCAATAGGAAATGGTGGTGAAAGTTTAATGAGAAAGTATGTTTGACCCTGTGTTTCATCTCTTGTATGTCATCTGCCTGCAGTTATGCAATTTGCTCTGGATAATACTGTAAAATTGAGGGAAAATGAAGATTTTTGATAACTAATTTCCAAGATTTTTATATTATTCTTCAAAAGAATGAATTATAGAATTATATGAAAGAATTAATGAATTAAAGAAAATGTCTGCTTCATATCTTTGAAATATAATGGCATGAATCTTCCAAAGAGCAGCATGAAAAATGCAGATTCATATCTTATCTTCCTCATTCCATAGCTGCAGATAATTATTTTTAGATCTTTTTAATATTATAAAAAAGGTTGTATATTGTAGAGTTTCTTTTGTAAAGGTACATGAATATAAAAAAAATGGCGAAAAGCTACCTTGTAACCCCCTCCAAACTAGCGGTGTATTTATCTACACCATTTTATCACTGACAATGTATCACTAACTTAATTAACTAAGCTAAGAGGGGAAACAGCTTTTTGGGTACTGATGTACTTCTTAACCAAATCCCCTTTACAGATGGGGTGGTGGTGTGTATCTAAACCTGTGTGTTCATACAACATATTTGAATTTCGATCTAAAATAATGAACATTATCAGGGGCTATTTGGACAGAAGAATTCCATTTTGGGAATGCTGAAGCTCAAATCAGAACAAGTCAGCTTTCTGAGCAGTTAAGTTGATTTAGCAGGGAGAGAAAATGTAAAATAAGCCAGTGTCATCATGGTTTCATCACTCTCAGGTGGTCTGAAAGGTCTAGAGTCTTATATTTCAAAATTAAGCAAAGTGCCAGTGCTATCCTTTTTCATTTTCTCTTTCTTGTTTGTTTATTGTTTTGGTGGGTTTTTTTTAGTGGTGGGAATCACCTTTTACTGAGGAGGAGAAGAGATGGGCTGAGGGTTGAAAGAAGTTCTGGCAGCTCTTTAATGAGCAACTTTGTGAACAGCAGATGTCTCAGTGCTCTTGAGATGCAAAAGTAATTTTTCATTGGCACTGTATCTGTTTCAAATCAAACCTGCCAAGTGTCCTGGTTTTGGGCAAATTTGGGGGAAAACCTCCAGAAGGAGCCCCCAGACAGCAAACCCCACGACTCCTCCCCCCCCACCCCACCGGGTTCGGGAAGAATTTCCTCGGAGAAGAGTGGGAGAAAAAACCTGTTTATTTAACAAGCAAGACACTCCCCAGCACAGGGAAAAAAGACAACACCAGCTGACAAAAAAAACTCTTTCACCGTTCTGAAGGGATGACAAACTCAGTCTCTCTGGCGAGTGGTCGCTCAGTTATCAGTCTCTGGCGCTGGGGATGACTGCTGCAGGTGACAAAGTGTAGCCTCCCGGTGTTTCTTGGGGTTCCCAGGTCCCCGTCCGTTCAGATGGTATCCAGGAGAGGGAGGGGACGGGGTGGAAGAGAAAACAGTCCAGGGAAAAAGTTGGACTGCCTAGCTGAACTAACTAATAAGCAGAAAGCAAGGGCAAAGCGAAGGAAAGAAAAAGGCAGAAGCGAGCAAGCAGGCAAGCAAGCAGGCAAGCAAGCAAGCAAGCAAGCCGAGCTAAAACCTCTCCTAAACATAGACCATGGGGGAGGTGAGCCGGCTGATAACAAGACAAAACAAAGCTTCACTCTCAGACTCAGTCCTGGAAGCACAGGACATAATACCAAACATAATCAGGACACACGATTGGAGATAGAAACACCATAACATCACCCTAGGACACCAAGTTAAAAATGATGGTAATTGAATCACACTTTAAGCAGCCATTATCTGTTTTTCTGAAATGAACAGGAATTTTACCCCTAGCCAGTTTGGGTACTTCAAATTAATGGCTGTGGTAGCTCAGGTGACTGTCAGGATGCTACCAGAGTATGAGCAGCACCTTGTTAATCGAAACCCTGTGCAGGCACAGGACTAGGACGTCATTCATGTCCTTGAAATCATAGCATGGTTTGGGTTGGGACAGGTTGTTCAAAGTCCTTTACAGCCTGGCCTTGTATGCTTCCAGGGATGGGGCATTCACAGTTTCTCTGGGCAGCCTCTGCAGGCCCTCACCACCCTCATAGTAAAGAATTTCTTCCTAACATTCAATCCAAGCCTACCTTCAGCTGAAAGTGGCCAACCCCTTGTCCTGTCACTCCATGCCCTTGTAAAAAGTCCCTCTCCAGCTCTTGTAGCCCCTTTGGGCACTAGAAGGTACTCTAATGTCTCCCCAGAGCCTTCTCAGGCTGAACAAACCCAGCTTTCTCAGCCTGGCTCCATAGCAGATGTGCTCCAGCCCTCTGAGCATCTTTGTGGTCTCCTCTGGATTTGCTCCAGCAGGTCCCATGCCATCCTTAGGCTGGGGGCCTCAGAGCTGGATGCATTGTCCCATATGGGCCCTCACCAGGGTGGCTCTTCATTCAATGATGAAACTGTTAATGTAACAAGACTCAGGTTTTTTATGTGAAAACACTTAGATTTTGTTGAAATAGTTTTTGTCATGTTGGATAAACTGGAAGCTGGGAGCAATCTCACATGAAGAGAGAAAAATGTATTTTCATTTAGAAACAAATTCAAGCATACATTTGACTTTAGCAGCAGAATAAATATATTTTTACAAGCAAGCACACAGATGTTAGGGTTGGAATTCTGTTGAAAAACCTTTTTCAAACTTACACTTTAGTTGCAATATCACTACTTACCCCTCACCAGCATCACTTTCCCTAGTCATATTATTTTCTCCCAAGAGCTGAATGGAGGGCTGCAGACAATCACCTGTCCTTGCAGGTTGTCAGAACGTTTTTCTCTTGTTATCATAGGAATTTCATCAAGGCATCTGTCCTATTTCATAAAAGTTTGTCTGGAGATGGATGTGTAAGTTTGTGTTATCTACTTTGATACTTAGAAAACTTATGAATGAAAAAATGTGCTATGCAATCTGATGCAGAAGGGAGAAAAAGAAGAATCTTCTGTAAGTCTAGAAGAGAGTTTTCTAGAGAAAAAGGCTGATGTGGCCATCATTAGTCAAGGTATAAGTGTACTTAGGAGAGGAGGAGGAGACCTCAAGCTCAGTCTTCATGGAATTCCCATTTGGATACAATGGAAGCATAACAACTCTGTGCTTTCTGTTAAGGGACTGCACAGCTGGAAAGGACTGATAGGAATAATTTGGCTCAGATTCCAGGGGAATTTTCCTGTAAGGGGCTTGGGATGGAAAAATTAATTGAAAAGTGTGAAGAGCCCTTTGTGAAGATCTTTTCTAAGTGACTGTTTGCACAGGAGCAATTGCTAATTGCTTCCCTGCCTGAGTTGCAGAAGGGGGTAGAAGCAAAAATTATTCTATAGAGTTTATGAACCCTTGATTATTTACCCCTTTGAATACTGGTAGGTCTGTACTGGGATAGCTCAGGTTTCACAGTGCAACCCAGTAGATTTATATGCAGGTGTAATTTAGCCTGTGAGTCTAAAGATAACTGCCTGATTTGTTAACAGTGTGGAAACCCTGGTATGTTTTGAGCTCTGTAGCTAATGAGCTTTGCAATCAGGCCATAATTTAAACCACATAAATATGTTGTCTTTTGGGTATTTTTATGGGATTGTTTTGTTTGGCTGTTTTGGTTTTTTTTTTAAATCTAGCATTCAAATCTATCATTAATTTAAGCATAGCACATTAACTAGAACCTTACTCTGTATAGCCTGTAAATGGCTATTTGCTAAAACAAGATAAAATATTGCAATTGTTTTGCTTCAGTAAGGATGTAAACAGTCTTATTGGAAACGAATTAGTTACTAGTTTTTCGTGTGATGTGTTGTTGATCAGTTTGAAATCAAAGTGCTGCTATTTCTCTGCATTTTGGTTGCTCACTGATGTCCTGGAGGTTAAATGTAGGTAACCCAGGGTACATATTTTTGTTTTGTGTGTCCATTGTTTCTAAAATATAGGTGAGTGCTGCATGCATACATTAATAAAAAAAAAGTCGAGTGGAAAAGTGCTCTTCTTGTGCATGGATGTTGGTGAAGCAGTTTGATGTACAACAAAGCTTCAAAGGATTTTACTGGCCATGCAAGTAGGAGACATTGATATGTTTGTAACTCCTCTGTTGTGACAAACAAGAGGTGCATTAACTTCTTAAATTGAGGTTATCTCAGATGGAAGTAGCACATTTGCTGGCTTTGTTTGGTTCAGCTGCAGCAAAAGGGGTTTCACCTTGGCTGGTTTAAAACTTCAGAATGTTTTAATTTGGTTTTGATTTTGGGGAATGGAATGGTTTGCCAGTACTAACAAGCAGATTTATGTAGTACCCTTAAAATAACATGGTTATTTCAATGGTTAACAGCATTGCACAGTCTATTAGAGTGATAACACTGGACTTCATGATTATAGGTTTTTTTTCTTCTGTAGTTTCACTGATTTTGTTTATAATAATTTTTCCTTTCCATTTTCTTTTATGGTGACATATGCTGCTTATTAAGCAATCCACTGTGTAGTTAAGTACAGAACTTCATAATTTGCCAGATTTGCATCAGCAAGGCTGATGTTACAAATACTTGTTAGGCAAAACTACTGTGAGCTCATTCTTGCTACCCTTTGACAAAATGAATTCAGTAGCATTGCCAAAACCTCCACAAAGAACTGCAAGCTCTTGTAGGAGGTTCTGTTGGGACTGTATATCTGCTTAAAGATAGGCTTTTATTGAAATCCGTGATGGATGTACTTGATGCAGAATATAAATTGTTATGAAAATAAAGTGATAAGCAACTGCATTCTGCATTGCATATTGTAAGTTAATAAAAAGAGTCTGCCGGGAACATGGGGACTTTGGTACTGTGAAAGGAGAGAATCACAGAAAGGATCCTGCACAGATGTGGTGGTGACAGCATCTAAATTAGCAGGTTTGTACATAACTCCAGAGCTTCCTTCTTCAGGCTTTGGCCAAAGTCAAAGCTTTTTAGTCCATAAGGACCATGCCATCATCATTTAGGGGTGAGCTTTTGTCAGCAC